CTAAAAATAAAGGAGCAGCTCTGTGATTTATTACTGCAGGTCTATATTTTTAGAAGCCTCACAGGAGACGCTAAAAATGCCCGACTGAAAGGAGGTACGAACAATCCAGGATCTCATTTCTGATTAAGGTAACCTCGTTGTTGGACTTACCCTGGCTTCCATCTACCGACTCCCAGCTCTCCTCAGCTCCCCAGTCTCCTGTCGGCTCTGCGCCCCAGCCATCTCCAGGCTATCGTTGAGAAAACAACACAAACATAGTTCTCTGTTATTCAAACCTAATCAAACCAATGTACAATTATTGAAGAAAAAAATCAAATTTAGTTCTTTAAAAATAAATAAATAATATAATATTTAGTGATCTCGATCTTAATCGATAGATCTGTTAATGCCCTTTTCTTAAACAACAGCGATTTTATTTTGAAGGCCCACCGTGATGCTGAGGGCTGATCATGTGACTGCAGTTTTATGGTGTGCTCTGTTAAAATGTCATTTTAATGAAATTGGATAAAGTTTGGTGTTCCCTCTAATGTACATGTAAGACTTTCAAGTCATAATCAAAAGTGCATTTAACACTCCGTTGTTCTTTTTTTCTCTCAAATCTGAAAACCAACTCCTGTATTTTTGGCTCACTGCGCTCTCACCGTGGCCGCAGACATGCTGGCTGTGTTTCTCTGGGACACGCTGGCGAACAGATCGTTTTGACTGGCGCCCTTTGTCGTGCTGTCCCAGTTGTACTCGCTGGCTAACCGCACACCTTCGGGCAGGGCCAGCATTTTATTGGCCGAGCTTGTGTCGGTCTCCTCCTCCCCCCAGTCGTTCCCCCAGCCTTCCTCGCCTGCAGAGCTCTGACCCTGACCTTCTTTCTCGTTGGACCAGCTGTCATCGGCGTCCCAGCCTGAGCTCCAGTCGGAGCTCTGCTTTTTCACCACCATGGAGGTGGATGAGCGGCTCGCCTGCGTCACAGCGAAGAAAACTGAAATGAGTCCAGCTGCAGATTGATTTTTCCACATCTACATACACCCCCCAGATGTGACCAATTCTTTTTTTGTTTTTACAGTGGAGAAATTTTTTTCTAAACATTTGTTTTCAATAACATATACAAGTATATATTACAGGTAAATGGGAACCTTACAAGTCAACAGACTATACTAGGAGGATTAATAGTTTAATATGACTCACAGTAATCTAACAATATCAGCAGTGCTCACAGCATTAGAGGAAGTAGAATGAGCACAAAAGGAATGACTGTCAAATAACAGCAATGCTTAGCATCGTCCGTCTCACCTTCTTTTTGGATGAACTCATTCCTGACCAGTCGGTGTTCCAGTCATCGGGCTCAGTCTGAGCTTTCTCTGGCTCCTTTGAGGAAACGTGCAGTCAATTTATGTGATTTCAAATTATAATTATGCGAGACCATAATCTTCCATTTATGCGCAATACATATCTTAATTCTTTTCTCCCTACCTCCAAACTTCCCCAGTCCTCCTCATCATCCCAGCGGTCTCCTACAGGCTCATCATTGTTGTCTCTTACTTCAAGAGTCTGTGATTGGTTGGCACGACTAGAGGCACCGTGGTGAGTCAGGGAGGCTTGTTGATTTTTGTCTTGAGAACCTGAGATTGAAAGAAACATTTTAATGTGAGACACTGATTCGAGGCACTGATTTGTGTGGGAACATTTAATAAATTAAAGAATAGTAACTGGGATACAGATGCCGTTATTCTGCTGCTACACACAGGTTTTAAACTGCTAAGCAGGGATCTGCTATAGCTTTTCATATTTATAACCATAAGTATACATGTTCATAGCCTGCATATAGCTTGTACACTCACTACAGTTATAACCTGTACATACTTATAGCTATAGTAAATTGATAACATAACATTGTAACACATTTATAATAGATCTATAATCTGTAATATATCTATATTATTGCTAAAGCACCTCTGGATGGACGCAAACATCATTTCGTTGCCTTGTACTTGTGCAAGGAATTCTATTCTATTCTATTGCCTGAAGTTACAGGTCTGTCAAAGCACAATGCAGAGACTCCAGCAACACCTAAAGGGAAGAGGAAGAACTTTATTGACTGACCAAGGTGTTTTGGCTTGTGGCCTCATTAGGGTCATCTGAAGGTCACAAGCTGAAACGTGTTGGTCAGTCAATAAAGTTCTTCCTCTTCCCTTTAGGTGTTGCTGCAGTCTCTGCACTGTGATTTTTTTTTCACTCTTTCCACGCACCCCGGAAGCAGGTGAAGTTGTGCCAGAAATCTTTGCTGAAATCTATCAAAACAGGCAGAATACGCACTCTGGACACACCTCTCTGAGTGAGTTTAATTAGCTAAAGTGATAATAGGTTGCCTCAACTGATGCTGCAACCACGAGACCTGAAAAACTTCTCACATGCAGGAAGAACTTCAGTCCCTGGGGGAAAAAAACAACAACTCTGAAACTTGATAGGAGCAATTTAAAAAAAAAAAGTGGAATTTGAGGCTTTGCATCCATCCAGCCTATTTCCAGCCGTTTTTGATTTCCATTTTGTTCATTTGGTGTAAACTGGGTTCAAAAGTAGCATCACCTGACATCATTCTTCTCAGATATGGAGAATGAGTAAAAGACGCAGTGGGAAATAATCTTGGGATCAAACTCAGAACCACACCTACACGAATGAAGACTTGTGAAACCTGAGGTTACTACAAAAACACCAAAAACTCAGAAAGCTATTTGTGCGAGTTAGCTTTCTCCCACATGATAATCACTGGGTCAAAATACAGATTCTTAGATCTATCAGATGAAGGCTTTGTGTTATAAAAGGAAGCTGACACCTCCCAGCACCAGCAGTCCCACTAATATAGACACATACACTTATTCCAGTGTTGAGATTCTTTAGATGATTCTATTTAGATTAAATATGCATGTTAGTGTATGTAAATCTTTATTTAAAAAAACAAAAAAAAACAAAAACAAAAAACAGCTGAGGTGCTGTGGTTCCACCTCACCTGTTGCGGCTGTTCCATCACTGGCACTAGGGGGAGTAGTGGGGCTGGTGGCATTAGCGGCAGGTCCGCCTCCCTCAGTGCCTGTACCCCCCTCCGTCCCTGGAGCATTGCGGATCAGCTTAGAAGTGAGCGAGCTCATGCCTGTCACAGCCCAGCCGGCCCAACTGGACGAGGCACCTGCAGGCTGAGCAGACGATGCTACGTCCTTTTCTGCAGGACACACAAAACAGAGTTGTTACGTTTAGGTTTTCATATAAAATGTGTCTATTAATTCGATTAAAGCCATCTGAGATAGTTACAGGATTATTTGTTTCTTTTTCTCAAACTCTATTCATGGTAAAGAAACAACTACACAGCATGGAGTTTCTAGTTTGAGGGAAGATTTCCAGTGCAGTTTACAGTTACATACCGATCTCAGCTAGCTTGCTGGGGTCTTCTGACACAGTCTCTAGTTTGGAAAGGAAACTCTTTATGGCTTTGAAAGCCTGACAGGGAGAAAGAGACAGGCAAAATTAGAGGTTCAGAACCAGCACCAAGACATGTAGACATCCCAGTTTCAGCAAATAGTCCCTTCTTGCACTGGTCGTTTGACAAATGTGACTGAATTAACAAAATCTAAAGCCATAAAACCATATTTGTATTTTAGCTTTGTGCACAATATTGTTTCAACTAATGTTATTTTTTTTCTAAAGTCTATTTTTAATTTAATGTCATTTAACTGAAATGTTCTTGCACATTTTATTTTTAGTTAAATGCTGTAAGATTGATAACTCCACCACCACTGCTGGTACACATTCCTCAGCATCAACTGCTGGTTTGCATGCAAGTCTTCAAAACAGCTGTAAGATCAAGGATCAAAAAGACTACAAATAAATTTAAAACATTCTTGGCATAGTTACAGGTAAAACTAAGGAACACTACAAACCAACGCAAGAGTACAAGCTGTGAGAAACCATGAAACCACATATCTCCAGCAGTCGAATACTCACTGAGTTTTTATACTCATTATCTAGACTTTTGTTTCTGTAATTTCAGGTCATCACATTTTTCATTTTACAATTTTTATATGTTGTAAGCACAAAAGAGCACCTTTTAAAATAAAGTTTTATTTTGTCTTATTTTGAATTCCTGCTTGATTCCTGCTTTTTTGTTGCTATGATTAGCCATTTGTGAAAAGCCTCC